TTTGAGGCGGAGTCTCACTCTGTGCCCAGGCTGGAGTGCAGTGGCGCCAACTCGGCTCACTGTAATGTCTGCCTCCCAGGTCCAATCGATTCTCCTGCCTCAGCCTCCCAAGTAGTAGCTGGGATTACAGGTGACTGCCAACACGCCTGGCTAATTTTTTATATTTTCGGTACAGATGGGGTTTCACTGTGTTAGCCACGATGGTATCCATCTCCTGACCTCGTGATCTGCCTGTCTCAGCCTCCCAAAGTGCTGGGATTACAGGCTGAGTCACCGCACCTGGCCAACAGACATCGTTTTGATACCCAAGGCAGTCCCCCTGGGCTGGGTCCCACACGGACCTCTCTGTTCCTCACCAACTGCCTGGTTTAATCACTGTGCAGGAGAGGGTTCCCCTCCTCCAAAGAAAGATCTGCACCTTGGCCAGCTCCTGGGAGGTCCCCTATAAGACCTTGCAGTGTCCTGCCTAAGACTGTCCTGGTCAGACGAGGCGCGGTGGCTCACACCTGTAATCCCAGCACTTTGGGAGGCCGAGGCGGGTAGATCACTTGAGTTCAGGAGTTGAAGACCAGCCTGGCCAACAGAGTAAAACCCCATCTTACCAAAAACACAGAAATTAGCCAGGTGTGGTGGCACGTGCCATGATCCCAGCTACTGGGAAGGCAGAGGTTTCAGAGATCGTACCACTGTGCTCTAGACTCGGCAAAAGAGCGAGACTCTGTCTGGGGGGGGAGAAAATAAAACAGCCAGGGTTGGTGGCTCACGCATATAATCTCAGCACTTTGGGAGGCTGAGGTGGGTGGATCACTTGAGGTCAGGAATTACAAAAATTAGCCAGGCATGGTGGTGGGCGCCTGTAATCCCAGCTACTCAGGAGGCTGAGGCAGGAGATCGCTTGAACCTGGGAGGTGGAGGTTGCAGTGAGCAGAGACAGTATCTCTGTACTCCAGCCCGGGCGACAGGGTGAGACTCAATCTCAAAAAAAAAAAAGAATTCAAAGCTCACATGGTGGCACCCCACCCCACACTCGGCAACAGCCCACAATGTATTCAGCTAATACAGCTTTGGAATTCTGCAATTCCATTTTTCTTTTCCATTATTTTAAAGGGATTTGCTTTGTTTCAGACCTGCACGTAAGACAAGATGTTTGTATTTCTGTACTGCACTACTACAAATTGGCACGTCCCAGTTCACACTGAACATGACCTCATTCTGCTCTGGTAACGAATTCTAGGAAATGGAGCTTGCGCTTAACGCACTTGAAACTAGTTTTCTGGCACGAGGCCCGCTGGGAGCTGGTATTCGGGTCCACCTTGTGCTGGACGGGACACTCTGTTCTATAACAGGAGTGGGAACCGGAGCTGAAGTCTAGAGAGGAGCAGAAAGGGCCGTGCGCGGTGGCTCATGCCTGGACTCCCAGCATTTTGGGGGGCCAAGGTAGATGGATCACCTGAGGTCAGGAGTTCAAAACCAGCCTGGCCAATATGGTGAAATTCCATCTCTACTAAAAATACAAAAATTGCCGGGCGCGGTGGCTCAAGCCTGTAATCCCAGCACTTTGGGAGGCCGAGGCGGGTGGATCACGAGGTCAAGAGATCAAGACCATCCTGGTCAACATGG